AGAGAGAGGTAATTTAAATTTTTAAGAAAAGGAAGACAGGATTTTGATCTCCTCTTTCCAGCAACACTTGACCAAAGTTCATGTCAAGTTGACCTTCCTTCCTTTGCTTTTGGAGATCCAATTCAAGCTCAGTTCTGCTAAGATTTCCTTCCTAGTGGGCTGTTGTACTCACTGCAAAGGCCTTTCCTGGATCTGGCAGGGAACTGCCTATAATTACCCTTAATGTACTCCTGGAGCAAAGATACGCGCATCAAGAGCCAAAATAGAAGGTTAACTACAAACTGTGTAGTAATGCAATTACCTCCCAATTATCCTTTCCAACACTTAGGGAATGAATAGAAGACATTAAGCCCAACTCTGCAGGAGAGTCTCTGGTTTTTGCCAGTGAAGTGGAGGCTGGGAGGGGCAGAAGGTGGAACAGCCATCGGTGGATGCTGGTGGTAATGAAGGTGCGGTGATGGCGGCACCTCCATGCAATTATCCCTATGGGTACCAAATCGCCTTTTTTCTCTAGTTTAGGTTTTGTTTTGTCATTTTTGTTTTTGTTTTTGTTTCTGAGTCAGGATATCACTTTGTAGCCCTTGCTGTTCTCAGGCTTGTGACAATCCTCCTGCCTCTGCCTTTCAAGTGATAGGATAACAGAGGTGAGCCACCCTGCCCTATGATGTTGGGCTTCATTCACATTCTTCCACTCATGGCCTGGAGTGATGTCTCAATGGGACAAGTGCCTGTGGAACAAGCATGAGGAGCTGAGTTCAACACCCAGAACTCACATAAAGCCAGATGTGTACATGTGGATAATGCCAGCACTCCTGGTATGAGGTGGGAGGCAGAGACAAAATCCCCAGAAGCTTACAGGCCAACTAGCCGGTGCATAGAACAGCTAACAGGAAAAAGACTGTTTCAAACAAGGTGGAAAGCAAGGACCAATGCCTGAGATTGTCTTCTGACCTCCAATACACTTCATAGCGCACACACACACACACACACACACACACACACACACACACACTTTAATTATATCATTGTTGTTGTTGTTATTTATTGTTATTATTATTGTACTATGCCAACAGCTCAGAAAATAAAGGTGCTTGCTGCCAAGACCAAAAACCTGAGTTATTAGGTCCTCAGGTCTTACAAGGCGGAGGGAAGAAACCAACTTCCCCAAGTTGTCTTCTGACTCCCACATGTATGCCATGACACATGTGTGCCCTCATGTGCGCACGCAGACACTAAATAGATGTTCAAAAAAATCCTTCAAACTGCATTCCACTAAAGGTGGGCCAGGTTAGCAGCTATCATAGAGCTGTGCAAGGCTCCATGTAAGCACTGATCCAATGCAAAGTTCTGTAAAACGAGTATTTTTCCCCTCAAAGCCTGTATCAAAAATGTCAGCTAAGCCTTCAGAGGTGAGCATCTCATCTAACATTAGGCAGTCCTCTGGGGGCTGGGACAAATCCAGAGGGAGCATTTCCTGTCCAGGGTGGTGGTGTGAGACTTTCCCAGGGGAGATGTTAGGAAATATCTATTCATCCCAGATACAGAGGACATGGACAGGCCAGAGGAAGATCCTGTCTTAGTCTAGCCTGGTCAAGCAATGAGTTTACTGAGGCTCCTTACAATAAGCATGGGAAGGGAGGCGGGTACTGAGGCTGGATGGCTCAGTGGCTAAGAGCGCTCGCTGCTCTTGCATAGGGAATGAGTTTGGTTCCCTGCACCAACAAGTGCTCACATCCCATCTGTAGGTCCAGCTGCAGGGAATCCTTCTTCTGGCCTTCTCGGGTATCCTCACACATGTGCACACAGAGAGAGAGAGAGACATGTACACACAGACACCCACACACATACACATAAATTAAAACATATGTATTTTTTTCAACAAGGCGGGAGTTCCTTTTGAGTAAGAATGTTGCATAGATGCTAAGAGCGGGCATGAAGAAATAGGAGCAGGCAGAAAATGAGGAACATTTTGGTACCAGCTTCACCAACATCTACATCCCTCTGACATCACAGGGTCACTCTCTCAAGCAGGTCTTTAGCAACTGCAGCAAAAAAAAAAATCTACAATGGTCATCTTTGCTTTGTAACCTCCTCCTCATTCTGTCCAGTCCATCATCAGACATTATTCTTTAATCTAAGCCATATCTTCTGTGTTAACATTGGCTGATATGAATATGAATTGCTATTGAATAAACCACTGCCAAGTGTAGGGACTTTATAAGAGCAAGTTTGTGTGCTACAAGGTGTAGACTGAAGTTTCTTGGTCTTGCCCGGTCCCACCCAGGCAGCAGCTGTTCTTACAAAAATTCAGAGGCTTAATATTAATTGCAAACTGGTCTATGGCTCAGGCTTATTGCTAGCTAGCTCTTATATCTTAAATTATCCTTAAATTAACTTTAATAGATTACTATTAATCTATGTATCGCCATGTTCTCTTGCCTTTACCTATGTTCTCTTACACCTTGCTCCTCTGGCACTCACAGCATCTCCCCGACTCCTCCTTTCTTCTCCCTGTATCTCTCTTGGGCGTCCTAACTGGCTATATCCTGTGTTGCCATTGGCCAAAACAGCTTCTTTAGTAACCAATGGTAGCAACACATATTCACCACATACAGAAAGACCATCCCACAGCAACAAGGCTGGAGAGATGATTCAATGGTTAAGAGCACTTCTTTTTTTTCCCCCAGAGGACCTCAGTTTGATTCCCAGCATCTACATTAGCAGCTCACAACAGTCCATAACTCCAGTTCCAGAGGATCCAATGGCACTAGACACACACACACACATGGCACACAGACATACATTTGAGCAAAGCACTCACACACATAAATAAACAATTTTATGTTTCATGTGTGTCTAGGTATACATGTTCACATATATGAGTATGTGTGTGCACATGTTTATGTCTTTCTTCAGGAAACATCTACTTTGTTTTTGGAGATAGGACTTCTCACTGGCCTGGAGTTGCCAAGTAGGCTAAGCTGCCTGGCCATGCTGTTACAAGGACCCACCTGTCTCCACCTCCCCAGGCACATACTCAATGGCCTTTTTGTCACATGGGTACTGGTGGTTGAACTCAGTTCCTCATGCTCAAGTGGTGTTCTAGTTTCATTTCTGTTACTATGATAAAAATACCCTTACAAAAAGCAACTTAGACAGGCAGCAGTAGCACATGCCTTTAATCCCAGCACTTGGGAGGCAGAGGCAGGTAGATTTCTGTGAGTTCAAAGCCAGCCTGATCTACAACTCAAGTTCCAGGACAGCCAGAGCTGTTACACAAAGAAACTTTGCGCCCAAAAAAAGGCAACTTAGTGAAAAAAGGTTTATTTCAGCTCACAGTTCTAGATTAAAGTGAATGAGTGTAAGGGAGTCAAGCCAGGAACTAGAAGAATCTAGGCAACTCACATCCACAGTCAACAGCAGAGAGAAATGAATGCAGGCGTACTCAAGTACTTGCTTGCTTGTGCTCAGTTTGATTTCTCTGCTTTTACACAGGTTGAGAACTCTGCCTAGAGAATGGTGCCACCCATGGTAGGTTGGATCTTCCTACACCAATTAACTTAATGAAGACAGTCCCCCATAGACACGTCCACTGGCCAATCTGAGCTAGACAATCCCTCATTGAGATGCTCTTCCCAGGTGACTCTAGGTTGTGACAAGTTGGCAATGTTAACCATCACACACAGTAGGCACTTTGCTGATAAAGTGGTCTCCTCAACTCCAACAGACGTCATTTTTAATCTAAGATGTGTCTTCTGCGATAACATTGGCTAATATGGATAGCAACCACTGCAAAAAAAAAAAAAGGCATTGCGAAATGCAAGTTTTGGGGCATAGAGAGATGCTCAGTGATTAAAAGCACATAGGGCTGTGGCAGAGGACTTGAGTTCAGTTCCTGGCACACAAGTCCAGCAGTAACCACCTGTTAGGTCCAGCTCCGGGGAACCCAACACACTCTTTGAGTGTCTCTACAGGCAACTGCACTCAAGAGCATACACACACACACACATACACACACACACACACACACACACACACACACACACACATGTTAAAACAAGTTTTTATTGTATTTCATGATGGAATCTCCTGTCTAGGTCTTGCTCAGATGCCTCTAAGTGATGCCCAGTGCCTCCCACCAAAAGTCTCCAACCTGGGACCTGAAGAGATGGCTCAGCGGATGGAAGTATATGTTGTGCAAACATAACAACCTGTGTTAAGATCCCCAGCACCCACATAAAAGGCCAGGGGAGGTCATACACACCTGTAGCCCCAGAGCTGCAGGGCTGAAATCAGGATGATCACTGGGGTGTTCTGGGTAACAGCATAGATGAAAATTGGCATGCTCCAGCTTCAGTGACGAGCCCTTTGTCTCAAGGAAATAAGGCAAAGAATGATAGAGGATAATCCATGTCCTCCTCTGGCTTCCTGTGCACACACATGAGCACATGCACCAACATACACATGTGTACACACATGCATACACAATACACACAAAAGAGCCTCTAGACTTAACAACCATTCTATTTCCCAAGTGCTTCCCCAACTTGATACCAACCCAAGTTCACCAGTACAGATACTGATGATGATAAAGTCTGACACCTCCTTTGGGGCGAGTGCCACAGCCATATCAATTCCTGGTTCCCAAGATCCTCTTAAAGAACTGAAATCAGGCCTGGAGTGGTGAAGGGCATTGCAGAGGACTGGAGTTCAGTTCCCATCACCTGTGTCTGGTGGCTCACACCTGCCTGTATCTCCAGCACAAGGGCAACCAACACCTTCTTCTGACTTCTACAGGCATCTGCGCGCGCGCGCGCGCGCGCGCTTGTGTGTGTGTGTGTGTGTGCAGACACACACACATAGAAACATATTTTTACATGTGTGTGTTTTTATAAACACATAATTACAAAGAAAAGGAATCCTTTTTTAAGAAATAACATGCTGCAATCCCAGAATTCCTTGCTATGCAATACTCAGAAGTGACAGCCACAGAACAGGAGACAGGAAGATGGTCAGCCTTGTTAAGGGGCAGAATTTACAGTGGAAGAGAAGCTTCACCATCAGGGCCTGTGGAGGAGGAAAGAGGAGTTGAATCCAAATAGGTCTCAACTGACAGAGAAGAGTGGAGGCACCCGAGCAACCACATCCCCACTCCAAATGGAAAGGCGCCCAGGTTCCATCAGCTGCTTTTCCAAATGCCCCAGGAAACTCTGGCTGCTGCTTATAACAAAGCCAGACATGACTCCAACACACACACACACACACACACACACACACACACACACACACACACACACACACAGGCGTGCCTTTTATAAGGCCAGTTGCCCCATTTTGTTTGGCGTAATTTATTACTCAGTACATATCAATACTACAATTGTCAGCCCCGCAGACATTTTCCATTTTAATAGTTCGCATGAGGTACCGCATTATCGATCCTACACTACTAAATAAAAAACTCGTTTGTCAGGGGAACACGAAACGACTTTTAATGGACACAGCCAAACACCTGCTACTAGTTAGGGAAGACAAATAACCATCCCACCACAGGGACATTTGGAAATGGCTTTGCTGTGTGACTCTCCCTTGGGGATGCATGAAGAACTGTCTATTTATTCCAGATAGGACACGCAGACCAGAGAAAAGATTCCATCCAAGTTCAGCTGGATGAACCAATGTGCTCATTTGGAGTTACTCACAGGTGCATGGGTGAGGGGTCACTCACAGGATCATGGAGTCAAAGGCAGCAGTATCACCAAAAACAGTGACATCCTAACATGGGTGATGACCTCACAGGGGCTTCTCAGAGTCCCACCTTTTCTCTGAGCCTCACCTAAAATTCCAATACCTCCCAAGAGCAAGAAATAGCCGAAATTCCAGAAAGGATCCTGTGACTCCGCCAACCCCCCAGTTACCGTTACTCTAGACTATTATGCTGTTTATTTTGTTGCCATGACTACAGGGCCACACATTCTGGAGATCAACACAGTAATTTCTGCTCAAGACGGCAAAGGTCATGTGATGCCCAGAGAAAAAAGCCAGACTCTGCAAACCCTGAGACGCTCTGCCTTAAGAATTATTGGTCTTATCATGGGGATAGGGAGAAACTGGGTACTAGGGAAGTTCCCAGGAATCCACAAGTTTGACTCCAGCTTAGACTGCTACCAATAATGTGGAGGGTGCCTGAAATGGCTTACCCCAGTAATCAGATCAATGAGTACCCTAACTGTCATCATAGAGCCTTTCTCCAGTAACTGATGGAAGCAGATGCAGGGATCCACAGCCAAACACCAATCAGAGCTCAAGGAATCCAGTTGAAGAAAGAGAAGATTCTATTAGCAAGGGGCATCAAGATCATGATGGGGAAACCTACAGAGACAACCAAACCAAACTAGTGGATACTCATGAAATTTAGACCAATACCTGTGGAGCCTCCACAGGACTGGACTAGGCCCTCTGCATAAGTGAGACAGTTGTGTAGCTTGATCTGCTTAAGGGGCCCCCCGGCAGTAGGATTAGGATCCATTTCTGGAACATGAGCTGGCTTTTTGGAGCCAACTACCTATGGTGGGATACCTCGCACAGCCTTGAGGCAAGGGTAGGAGGCTTGGACCTACTTCAACTGAATGTACCAGGCTCTGCTGACTCCAATGGGATGTCTTACCTTCTTGTAGGAGGGAACGGGGTGGTGGGTGGTGGTGGTGGAGGCTGGAGGGGCTGGAGGAGGGAAGAGGGGGATCTGTGATTGGTATGTAAAATGAATTTTTAAAATTTCTTAATGATAAAAAAAGAAATTTGAAAAAAAAATAACTATTGGTCTTATTGGAAAACAGAAAGTAACTTCTGGAAACATCGGAAGGTTAAGATTCTCGTTAAGAATCAGAAGTGGCACTCTTGACCAGGTGTCTTAGTCAGGGTTACTATTGCTTTTGATCATGATGAAACACCGTGACCAAAAGCAAGATGGGAAGGAAAGGGTTTATTCTGCTTAAACTTCCACATTGTAGTCCATCACTAGAGGAATTCAGGACAGGAACCCAGACAGGACAGGGACCTAGAGGCAAGAACTGGAGCAGAGGCTATGGAGGGGTGCTGCTCAGTGCCTTGCTTCCCTGGCTTGCTCACCTGCTTTCTTGTAGAACACAGGACCACCATTCCAAGGATAGCACCACCCATAACAGGCTGAGCTCTCCCCCACCAATCACCAATTAAGAAAATGCCCTACAGGCTTGACTACAACCTGATCTTATAGAGGTATTTTCTTAAATGAGGTTTCCTCCTCTCAGATGACTTTAACTTGTGTCAAGTTGACATAAAACTATCTAGAACACCAGGTATCCGGTATGTATGGGTCATCTTTATTGTCTTACATCCTCCTGGCAATCCTGAAAATATGGATTGTTCTCAAGGAAGCAAAGTGGGGAAGCATAAGCTAAAGTAGGTGATTCTCACTTAACAAAAGTCTGATGGCAATTGTGGTGGTATATTGTGTGCCCTAATAAAATTTACTTGAAGATCGGAGAACAGAATAGGACACTAGATTAAACATAAGAGGCCAGGCAGTGGTGGCACACACTTCTAATCCCATACACCTTTAATCCCAGCACTTAAGATCACATGCCTTTGCTTGGGAAGCCCACACGCCATTAATCCCAGCACTAGTTAGAAAGTGATGGCTGGGTGGAGAAAGGCACATAAGGCATGAGGAGACAGGAACTGAGAGTTTTTTCAGGCTGAGGAGTCCTAGAGGTAAGACGTGGCTGTGGCTTGTTCCTTTGTCTCTCTGATCTTTCAGCATTTACACCAATATCTGGCTCCAGGTTTTTTTATTAAAAGACCATTTAGAATTCATGTTACAGGCAATGACTCCAGATTTGGCATGGCTGCTTCTTGAGTTTAGGACTCTGGACCAGTATCCCTGCCATCCTCTTGATTTCTTCCACAGGTCTTATCTTACTTTTCCTGGTGCTGTGGTAAGATACTCTGACAAAAATAGATGAAGGGGGAAAAGGCTTATTTTAGAGGTTCATGGTTGTGCATTCTGTCTTAGTGGCAGAAGCTAGGACAGCGGGAGCTTGAAGCAGGTAGTCACATCACATCCACCATCTTTGCTCTCTCCATCTCTCAGTCCAGGGTCCCAGTCAGGGGATGGGATGGGCCATGGCTCAGGAGTTAGTAAGAGGGAAGGCAGTCAGGAAGGGGGTCAAAGGAAGAGAAATAATGTTCTCACACAAAAGAAACACCATCCTCCCCACCCACTGCCATGGGAAGGCAATACCTTCCCATGCAACCTCTGGAGTGGGCTTATCGAACAAAGTCTTCACCAGCCAGGGCCAGCTATCAAGTAAAGGCCATTTTTTTGGATAATATATTTTTCTGACCATTCCACTCAAACAATACCATCTTTTGTTGTGTATTTTCTGTCTGGGCTGAGGAAACAAAATGTAGAAAAAAAAAAAAAGATCAAAGGGAGAAATGGTCTGGGTCAGAGACCACTTTGTGGTCTTCTAGCTTTAGAGATGCCACCCTTCCCAACAGGGTGCTTTCTGTTCCAATAAATGCCTGTTTGCACCACTTCTGAGTCTCCCCTGTCTTTTTCTTCAGTCCTTCAATTCTCCATTTACCTGGAGAAAGAGCCCAGACACCTGGGCAGCTGGCACACAGTGCAAACACTCCTGTGACACAATCCACAATGGCTGGGTCTTCCCACCTCAATGAACATGATCATGATGATAATGTTCCACAGGCATGCCTAGAGGCCTGTCTCCCAAATAATCCTAGATTCTGTGAAGCTGGCAGTTAACACGAGCCATCACAGAGCCATACGGCCTCTGACAAGAAAGCAGCCAGCCATGTATCTGTCATTTTTAGATCAGAACATATAAGAAATGTATAGTTTAAATCTGTAATTTGTCCCCCAAGGCTTACATTTTTAAGGAATGTTCCCCAACTGCTGAGCTTTAGAAGAGTGATTGGAACATGAGGAGCTGATTTATCAGTAGATGTTATGAAGTTATTTCCTCCAAACTAAAATGTTCCCTCCTAAGGAGTAGGTTCTCAAGATTTTGGAAGTACATGAAATATATAAGGCCTAGGAAATAACTAAAACTCACAAGGCCCAGTAAACTCCAGAAACTTACAGGATTTACAAAGCCCCTCCCCAAAGTTGTTTAAGAAGCAGCAATTAGTAGAGAAGGGAGACTCTGTTCAGTGGAGCTGCCTGTAGTCATTCAGGGAGTTCCATGGTTGCAAGTCTCATGAGCTCTCACCCATGTTGAGGTGGGCTTTGGTGATGTAATTGCCTTTGAGCTATTCATGTTCCTGTAAATAACCGCTCACCTATACTTCTATAAGTAACCCTAAACTCACTGTTTAGTAAACTCAGTGTTCCACTAAGCCTGGATGGATTCCTTTCTTTGATCTATCCTTGGTGCCCTATCTGGACTGAATCAATATTTGTTTATATCTCTCCAGGAAGTTGCACAACAATGGGTTGTTAAAAGGTAGGTGAGTTTGAAAGAAATAGATCGCTAGGGCATGTGCCTTACAGGGTACCTATTGTCCCCAATACCATTCTTTCTCTACCTCTGCTTCCTGGCCACCATGAGGTAAACAATCTCCTCCACCACCATAATATTCTTCCTTGCCTCAGACCCAAAGCAATGGAGCCAAACAGTCATGGACTGAAATTTCCAAAAACATGAACCAAAATAAAGCTTTTCTCTCTTAAGTTGTTCTTCATGGGTACTTTATCACAGCAACAAAATGTTAACTGATACAGAGCAAATGTGGGGACGCATTTAGAAACCACAGGCTTCAAAGAATAGCCATTCTGGTGGCCCCTCCAGAATCTTGGAGGGAGTAACAAACTCCCCAAGGCAGTTCAAGGAATAAATAAATCAAACTTTCTAGAAGAGGTAGACCAGATGACTACTTCAAGTTAATGGGCAAACAAAGTCTGGGATTATTTGAATGAGACAGATAAGTATCTCTGACATACAGCATACATGGTACACACATAAACGTTGGCAAAGGAGGAACTCATCTCATTTATTAAATCATTTGAAGTGCAGTTAGAGGCTGCAATGTTCATCTAGCTGTGATATCTGTCACTCCGCTGATTGTGAGGGTTAATTCAGCTGATTTACCGGCTAAGTGAGTATCCCCGTTACCAGATTTTTATCATCAAAGCCTGGGCTCTGGAAGCCCTAACAAACTGGGATGTTATCATTCTCAGCAGGTCAACTTTCAAGAGAAGTAATAAAAAACAAAGAAAGGAGAATTATTCACTGTGGACACATTAAAAAGAAGAATAAATACAGAGGTCCAAGTGATTCTCCAAGTCCGTCTTTGGGACCATGACATGAGGTTGAAGTTTAAATAGATACAAGAGGCGTGAGTAGTTAGGCTTTCGCTGCCTGTGGGACCAACCTCCAGCAGCGCAGGGCTCAAAGGGAATCCACGGAGTCGGCAGACTACGGATGACTTTTTTATCTGAAGGGGTAAGTGAAAAAACACTCACACACTCTCCTGATGGTTTTCTTCTTTATTCTTCTTCTGTATTCTCCATTCTATGTCCTATATTCTCTTCCTTATCTCTACCCAGAAAATTCCCTCCTGTCTCTTTTGATGTTTTCCTGCTAACTCTATCTTTATTATTCCTTATTCCCTCCTTCTTGATGTTTTCCTTCTAACTCCTTCTAACTCTCTTCATGTTTTCCTTCTAATTCTCTCATTCTTGATGTTTTCCTTCTAATTCACTTTAACTCTATCTTTATTCTTTCCCTTACAGCTTATATATCCCAGCAAAATCTTTCAGGCAATATAGAAATTACAATGTAGTTAACATTCTGTTTTTTCAAGTGAATGATTAC